GTGTGCGTGTGTGTGTGTGTGTGTGTGTGTGTGTGTGTGTGTGTGTGTGTGTTTCTTTCAAGTCTGCAGAACCAGAACATTTTAACACTGAAACCATTGGGTCCATTCTTCCCACTATGGAGCATCTCTTCTTCTAACAACAGTCTGCAGACTTGGTTGGTTTTGGAAGAGAATGTCGTCCCTTTTGTGTCTAATTCTTGATTTTAACTGTTCAACATGTTCTATCAGGTCTTTTGTGTGTATTTTTGCATGAGGGGAGCAGAGGTGTCAAGTACCTGAGTACAAATGCTTTGTTGTTTTTACTTGAGTAGAAATTTTGGTTATCCATACTTTAGTGGAGTAATTATTTTTCAGCCTGCTTTTTATTTCTACTCCTTACATTTTAATTCAATTATCTGTACTTTCTACTCCTTACTTTTTAAAAATGCAAAAAAGTATTTCATTTCTATTTAACTTTGACTTGTTTTTATTCCATTGTTCAGAAAAATCAATAAATAGAACTCTGTCCAGATACATGGAGCCCATATATAGCGTGAATTTGATCGTGGTTGGATGAGAAGTGTAAATATACCATCCTGATGTTCTATTGGATTGAACTCATGCCATCACACCTATATGACACAAATCACTGCATCACATTCCAGCAGGACAGACTGTAGCAAATGCATGCTATAAAACCCTGTGCACAGCCTGAGCTTTTATCCTTAATGGCTTTTTTAAGTGTTCATTACTTTTACTTTTACACTTTAAGCAGTTTTAAAACCAGTACTTTTATACTTTTACTTGAGTAAAAAGCTTGAGTTGATACTTCTACTTCCAAACGAGTATTTTTTAACCCTAGTATCTATACTTATACTCAGTGGCATCACTAGGCCTATTTTAGGGGGGCTGGAGCCCCCTAAAATATTTTAAAGCCCCCCCTAAATTATTTTGGTGTAAATTTTTTTATTTAATTAATCTATTTTTTTCACGAAAATTCAATAGGATGTGGTCAGAATAAATAGCCATTTAATATTTCATTGTTAACTAAAATATATGATAATAAATCTGTCAGTTTCCCTTTAATTTAAGGTAGAGATCCTCTTCGGTGAGCCGTTATCCAATCCACGCATGCACACGCACGCACGCACGCGCGCACACACACACACACACACACACACACACACACAATACAAATATATAGTACTGTATACAAAAATTCTGTGCGTCTCCTGGGGGCTAAGCCCCCCCCTTGTCCTTAAAGCCTAGTGACACCCCTGCTTCTACTTAAGTAATGAATGTGAAGACTTTTGACACCTCTGGAGGGGCGCACGAGTTGTTCTAAAACTTGCATAATCTTGTCTGCATCGATGTGYGATCTGCCCATGCCAGACTCACTAATGCACATCCAGATCATCACAGAGAGGGTTTGTGAACGGTGCACTGATTACTGCCAAATAAGGTCTGGACTTACCAACTACAGTTTGGTGGTCTTCATTCTCCTCTGGTTCTGGGTCAAACTCTGGCTCCAACATGCAAGGCTGGATGGACAAGTCTTGTGTTGTTGACATCTTTCAATTAAGTTGAAAATAAAAAGCTTCTGTGCAGCTATATAGTCCTAAACCCCTCTATCAAAATAGAACAGAGCTACTCAGCCGGTGGCTCGCTGGCCACCTTCAGGTGGGTGATTCTATCTCAGTGTCAATGAGCTCCTCCCAA